CATTTGTACCTGCACAATCATTCCTTTCGTTCGATTCATAGGTAGTAACATCGCTGAATCTATAGAGCATGAATTCCACGAATATGCTAACGAACCCCAACCAACACTTCTTATTGTACTATTCAAAAAGGTAAGAACACAGGCATGATCGCTCATAAAATTAGTCTAGCAAATAGTTAGGATGGTGTTTCTGACTCCGTGTTAAGGATGTTGTCTACAGAGTTAAACGGGGCATTTGGTCTTAATACTTGGCTGTAACTCCCACGAACGACTTTCTATTAACCTCGGCATTGATAAAGTAATTCTTCGTATTCTTGTTGAGTAAACGCGAGGTATTACTTTTATTCCTTATTCACGAATAAGCTGACGTTTCGGCGGACTTCGCCTTCCTCGGAGCCTGGAAAGGTCAAGCTGACTGCCATCTACACGGCCAAACACCTCCATAACCAAGCAGAGAAAATGCTGAACCAAAATTTCAATCACATTGAACACAGAATAGCTTCTTGGCACACCACTCACCGTTTTCTATGAGTTTTCCACTAAATATGTCACGTGGAGGTCAACCGCACAAAGTTCACACGGGATCGTATTGTGTCCATCTCATCAAAATAACGGGCTTATATACTGGAAATCCTAGGCCCCCAAACGACAACTCTCGCGATAGAAAGGTCCCGTTTATACCGTTTATACTACCCTTCATCTCAAATGATGTAAGTGCAGCTATAAAACGCTGCTTAAGAAGGACGGGTCTAGAGAGTTCGGTAAACGTAGTTGAAATGCCACCGAGTAGTCTTAAGCGCCAGCTAGTTCGCAACCGCCTATGTGACCGTCTATGTGCAACGCAAAATTGCATAATTAGCCCCAGTGGTAGAAACGGTGATTGCATGAGCTCGGGTATAGTTTATTTGACCTCCTGTAAGGTGTGCGTGGACGAATACGTTGGCGAAACGGGTAGACCACTCTGCGTCCGTATAAAAGAACACCTAGCCGGCAAACATAAACCAAATACCCCGCTAGGCACACATAGGACCCAGAGACATAACGGAGAAGATTTCGAAGTACGTGTCACGATCCTCACACAAGAATCGAGAACACAAACGCGCAAAACTCTCGAGGCGTTCTGGATTAATTCCAGAAATCCGAAAATGAACCGCAGGAAAGAATTCCTCATTATCACGCGTGATATAGGGCAGTATATAAGACTGCTATTTTGATGGGAGGGGCACATTATGCTTCCATGTGATTTCTGTGCGGTTGGTCTTCACGTGACATATTTAGTGGAAGACGCATAGAAAGCGGTGAGTGTGCAGAGTTGTGTTCAATGTCATTGAAATCTTCGTTTAGCGTTTTCTTTGTTTGGTTATAGAGATGTTTGGCCGAATAGATTGGTGTCAAGTTGATCTTTCCAGGCTCTGAGGAGGGCGAAATCCGCCGAAACGTCAACTTATTCGTGAACAAAGAACAATAACACTTCGCGTTTGCTCAACAAGAATGCGAAGAATTGGTTATGAAATAGCAGAACTTCGTCTTAAACAAGGGTCAACAGTAAAAAGTAGTAACGGGAAGTCTTATTTACAAAACGATAAAGCTAGTAGGAGCAAAAATTCACAAAGGACATAAAATATTGTCCAGAAAATTGGTTCTATAACAAGTAAAACTATGAGGATTAACACGATGAAGCTCTGCAAAGCACAGAAAAGTGAACACCACCGTGAAGTCACAAGGCTTTACAGCTGAATTAACGCCATATTATGAAATCAGCAATTTCATTGAATGACAGATTTGAAGATAGTTATTGATTATTGAAATGACGAGACCAGAACTGATCAGCTAAGTGTTGCGCCTTCTAATTTTGCGATGCCAATGTCTATACCGCGTCCATAGACATCGTAGAAGGCTCAGCTTAAACATGGAATCTCTCGACCTATCTCTACTTCACCGAATTCGGTTTTTCATTCGGCCATATCACTGTAAAATTCTTTGCAATGCCTTCAGTTGCATTCTTTGGAAAATACAAAGGTATGCGGACGATTTTTTCGCCGAGAAGCTTCCCAATAATCCGGGAGATGCTAAAGAGGCTTTCGAACGGAATGGCACATACTTTACTCAGCAAAAGTTCTTTTCAAATATTTTTGCCGTAATATTTCTTTAACATGTTATCCAAAAAGTGAACTTCCCAGACATCTTAATATACAAGAGAAGCTTGAACAAATTGCCAAATTAAAAAAAATAGCCGCCAGGACCGACTTTCTATTTACCCCGGCATTGGATTATGAATTCGTCGTTTTCTTCCTCACCAATCGCGAGGTTGTTAAACAGCATACGTTTACTTCCATACAATAACACACATACAACACAACCGTAGCTGATGTTTCGGCAGAATCGCCTTCTTCAGAGCCTGGAAGGGTACACTAATACGCGACTTACGAGGTCAAACGCTTCAACAGCACAAACAGAAAGATGAAAACATGAACGATAATTACAAGATCTACGGCTTCTCGAAAAAACCCACCGCTTTTTCACCTGTCTTCCACCGTGGAAGAACAGCTGATTATAGTCACATATGGTTGACGACTGCACCGCCCCTCATCAAAAAGCAATTCCAAGATACGGGGCAAGATCACATGTTACCTCTGGGCGACTTTTATATCAAAATCGTCTCCGCTATGCTTTTGCATCCTATGCGTCCTTAGTGCGGTATTTTGTCTTGCTTTTCGCTTGCCATCTAGGTGTTCTTTTATGCAGATACACAAAGGTCTGCCTGTTTCGCCAATATATCCATCTCCGCAATTATTACAAGAGATCAGGTATATCGTACCTGAACTCATGCAATTACCGTCCCTGCCGTAAGGGCAGATTACGTAGTTCTGTGTTCCACATAGACGGTCGTATAGGCGGTTACGAACTAACTGACGACGAAGAGTATTCGGTGGAATTTCAATTATCGCTACCGATTCCTCTAGATCTGCCCTTCTTAGGCATCGTTTTATTGCTATACTTATAACATAGCGGAGACGATTTTGATATAAAAGTCGCTATCCTCTCACGGAATCCTAGAACACCAACGCGCGAACTCCTCGAGGTCTTTTGGATAAATGCCAAAAATCCTACAATGAATAGCAGAGAAGAATGCCACGAGATCACACATGATCTCGCCCCGTACCTCCATATCGATCGTTGTTGTGGGGTGGTGCAGTCGTCAACCATGTGCGACTCCCAGCGGCTGTTCCTCGTCCGTGGAAGACAGGTGAGAAAGCGGTGTTTTTCGAGAAGCCGTAGATCTTGCAGTTATCGTTCAGATTTTCACCTCTCTGTTTGTGCTGTTGAAGCGTTTGACCTAGTAAGTCGCGTATTAGTGTGCCCTTCTAGGCTCCGAAGAAGGCGATACTGCCGAGACGTCAGCTACGGTTGCATTGTGTGTTATTGTATAGAGGTAAACGTATGCTGTTTAATAACCTCGCGATGGCTGGGACAGAAAACGATGAACTAATACAAAAAAATACTCAAAGTGTTCACAAAGGTTGTTTAAATTGTTTAAAAACTAAATCGGACACCAGCAGAGTTCATTCGTCCGTGTGGGGCATTAGAGCTTCATTACGATGCGTTTTTCGTAAGCTTTGTCCTTCACTGTTGGGCGAGTGATAACCCTTGATGAATATCTAAGCGCAGAACCTGAATGCGCTATGTCCAACAAGAAAATCCCTTTCACCTAGGTTTTCGTTAACCAGCAAACTTCACAAAATCAAAGCTAAGCAGATAAAGATGAAACGTGATGGTGACAACGGGTGCTTTTACTAGACGCAGTTCTAAACTTTCATTACCAACACCACTTTTTGCTTTAAGCAGATCTTCGTCGTTGACGGATATCCCGTCCGTGAACCGAAACGCTACTTAGCGCTTTTCCAGGTTCCAGATAAGTGGATAACACAATGCCCGAAGTGCATTGGGCACAATGCGAAAATAATGCCCGCTTCAGCTTTAAACCCACATATTTCAGCTCACAGTAAATTTTATTAGTTGACATAAAAGCGATTATAATTCAAAACTTCCATATAGGAGGCAAATTATCTTCCTCTGTCACAATGAAATCCTAATTTCCTGATGTAGATGAGAAGTATATTTTTCATTTCCTTCACAGAAAGGTTAGAATTTTGAAAACGAAAGCAGGACAACGGGGATTTCGTGAAGTGTTTACGTTTGCCAGTATTACGCTTGCATTGGAAACTTTGAAAGTGTTCACTTCTTTCTCAAGCTTCTGAATCACAACGGAACAAATACCACTGAGTATTCAAGACAAGTGTACTCAGCTCGAAAAACCAATGTGATTAACGACTTGGGTCCAGGGCTGAATATGAGAAAACGAACAGCTTGGCTAAAATAAGGAAGCGTTAAAAAGCAGCGCTGGTGACGAAGGCAAAGAATATCCTGCTCTCTACCTACCTAATAGCTGAAACTTGGATAAGCAGGACGGAAGATCCTTAGCGTTATCGAACGCGCCATCGACATGGTGATGCTAAGGGCATGCTACTTCACGCAAATGAGAGAGCAAATCCAAAGTTACGTCAGTGAAGATCACAGAGCCCGATGTATACGTCGAGGTGTACAGAATTATGATCATCGTCAGACACGTGATGTGTATTAACAGCAAACAGAGAAGAAGAAGCTTCAATAACTGGTTTCCACGGGATGTGAGGCGCACGGTAGGAAGACAACCGACGCGATGGCATAAATTCTTCAGGAAGATCCCAGAAGAAAAACATGATTCTCGGAGAGCGCCTAGTGAGAACAGAACTTATAACGCTACTCTCGCATGAGACAAGGGCGAATGGAGACTTATTTAGCGGTTTCGAGTGGCTCGACGACTAAGAGAAAGATAAGTGATTTTATGTGATGAAGAAGGGTGAACTTAACTCAAACTACACTTCTTGTGTTTTTTCTCCTCTTTCTTTTTAATGCATAACATTTTCTTGAAAGTGATCAGTGAAGAAATGGAGTAAAAATCAACCGTTTGAAGTGAATGACACCAGTTTGAGATAAGCGAATTCCATTGGGGATAGCTTGACCTCCGCAAAACGGTTCACAAGAAGCAGCAGATAGTTGATCTGCTGGCTAACCTCTTCGAACTTTTCCGGCTTCAACTGTCCTAAAAAAGATGAGCATCTTTTGACATCAAGTGTTACATCGTAAAATTGTAACATGCGCTTTCTAGCAAAGGTCCACTATGATTTCGTTTGACAAGATTAGGTTTTACAAAACGAAGAATGTATTCACTTATATTTAAATTTTTTTATTTAAATTTATAAATCCTAGCCATGACCGACTTTATAGCTGTACAACGATGCCACGGATCACAAACCCAGATCTCCACAGCTCTGCTCGATAAAGAAAAGTTAACTCTGTTTGATGGATAAAAAGTCATACGTTAAGAAGTAGAATTCACGAAACGTTCACCAGCTTGGGAGTGACAGCACTTTTTTACGAAGGAATTTCATTTCGATGAAATTATGCTAATAATCTAGTAAGAATTGGACTTCTACACTACACTTTGATTTGAAAAAGTTTTGACATCACATTTTTTAAATCGTTATAAGAACGAAGTCCTACATTTTATTTATTTTCTCCACAGATTACCCTCATATGAGGGATCTCGACCCGATTGGTCGTGAGGCTACGTGGCGCGTCCCTAGGTAGCGGATAGAGGGTTAATCGCAGACCAAAAGCGGCCTTTGCTTCCCTGAGACACAGGTGGATCCAGGGGATGGACTACCTGTTTCTGCTGCACTGACTTGGCACATACTATCTGTAATTGCTAGGCGCATTCATCCATGTGTGTGTGGGTGCCTTCTTGCTTATGCGGATTGTATTCTACGAGTCAATTCGGCCAAACACCTGCAATCAAGTGACTGGGAAATATGGGAGGAGGTTAGGAGTCGCGTCCAACAAATAAGCTCCATGTCCACTCTGGGAGAGCCTGGCAAGCTACCCGTGGGTACACCCAGCCACCACATTCAGAGCCCAACAAGCTATACGTGGATATCAAAAGTGCTAAACATAGTAAAAAAAAATGGGCCTCACTCCCCTGACCCCGAAGGAGCCCCCAATTTCGCAGCGTTCGGTAGGACGAACGAGTTTGTCCATCGATTCATTCTAACTACTTACAACCCGAACAGGACGTTTACGATCAAAAAGATGTGAGTCAATACTAGCTTTGATTATCTTCGTCGTTTACGCGCCGATATCAAACTATGAAGAAGAAGAAGTCGAAGAGTTCTATATGGACTTCGAGAAGTTCTACAAAGAACATCCATACATTCTTCAAGGTCACCATTGGAGATTTCAACGCAAAGATTGGACCAAGAAAAACGTCTGAGGAACGTCACATTGGGACTCACGGATTAGAATGGAAAGAATAGGGTGAGCGGCTGTCCTAGTTTATCATGGCGACCAAGACAATCCATGGTAACTCGCAATACCAGGAGCCCCACCCTTAGCGCTGGACGTAGGAGTCTCCCAATGGAGAGCCCCATGACGAAGTAGACAACATCATAGTAAATAGAAGGTTTTGACTAACCGACGTCGCTGTTGTCCCAAAATTTTACACGGGATCAGACCATCGCCTCCTTGGTGCGAGATTCTATTTCTCGCGGAAAGGAGAAAAAGCCGCTAAATTCCAAAACCGAAGTCCCAGAACCACCGTAAACTGGGACTTATTCAATTCATTAGTCGGCTGTTGGGAAGACGCCGTTGTCGACGAAAAATCGACCACCGGTTCTCCCTTCCAAATTCCGACATGCCACTTCGTCAGTGAAAAATCGAGCAACACCAGGTCCGGACAGGATGAGACCAGAGCACCTGAAGAACCTTCCCCCAGTCCTCGTAAACACACTAACCCGGTTCTCCAGACGTTACCTGTCTGAATGCAAGGTTTCTACTCAGTGGAAAACCAGCAAGACCGTGTTACTGTTCAAGAAGTGTGACTTACACGATATCGGCAACTATCGCCCGATCTGCTTGCTGCCTATCGTCTACAAACTTTTCTCTTGAGTCATCTTGAACAGGATTTACAGAACACTAGACGAAGGACAGCCATGTGAGCAAGAAGTGTTTCGAAAAGGATTTAGTACGATGGAACACATCCACATGGTAACAAGGCTCATTGAAGTATTGCGAGACTACAAAAGACAGCTCTGTCTCACTTCCATCGATTCACAGAAGGCCTTTGTTCAGTTGAGATAGCAGTCTTCGAAGCCCTTGACAGTCAAAGAGTCCCCACTCAGCACATAAAGATTTTTGTGAGCTGTACAAAAACTTCACAACCAAGGTATCACCATTCTACAACGATATTAACATTGTCGTCAAAAGAGGAGTTAGGCAAGGCGATACCATCTCGCCAAAATTATTTACCGCCACACTCCAAAACGTCATGCTAACATTGGAATGGGATAATATGCGAGTGAAAATCGATGGTTGGCAGTTACACCATCTTCGCTTTCTGATAACATCGTCCTTATAACACCAAGCATTAGCCAAGCGGAACGTATGCTTGCCGACTTTGATAAAGGCTATTGAAAGATTGGTCTTCAACTAAATCTCACAAAAGCGATGTTTATGAGGAAGGGATTGGTTTCGTATGCGCCATTCACGCCCAACGGAACGAATACCTCCGAATGCTCCAGTTATATCTATCTAGTTAAGAACACTCGACTCCGTGCCCACATTTTCGACTCAAGGGTACTTCCTGCCCTAATGTATGCGTCAGAAACCTGGTCGCTGCGTAAGCAGGATGAAAGACCACGCAGCGTTATTGAACGCGCAGTCGAAAGGACGATGCTAAGAGTATCCCGTTCCACACAAGTAAGGAATGTGATCCGAGGCTCCGATCTGCGTCAACGGCCAAAAATCAAAGGAGCCGTTCTGTACGCCAAACAGTCGAAGGTGGACCGGACACGTAATGCGTATGAATGATAACCGTTGGACTAGAGCCGTTAGTGACTGGATTCCTCGGGATGTCAAACGTACTGCAGGAAGACCACCGACGCGATGGTCAGAGTTCTTCACAAAGAGTCTTGAAGAAATATATGATGCTCAATGAGTCCCTAGAGCGAACAGAACCCACTGGGCTACTCTTGCACCCGATAGGAAAAATGGAAGTTTTACTGGCGCCCGCTCGAGTCACTCGACGATCGACGGAACTACAGGTGATATAGGTGATGCAAAAATGATGTATATATATATATATATTACATATATATATACTTGGATAGATGGACGGCCCTTCCCCACTGGTTGCACGGACCTCAGCACATTCTTCACTTTTCGGAGTTTTGCTGGTTTAGCCATTGTCTTTCTGTGGATCCCCGAAGTCAGCTGAACAAATATTTGCCACAGGTCGTCACCACCAAGGGTAGTCGCCGCCACGCGACTAGTCTGATCCCACGACGGTGGTGGATCCTGGTATCGGTTTACTCCTAGCTGGGTTTCCTGATGGAAGCGCCCGACTCAGCTTGGGAGACCCTGATGTGGTGATGAATCCATCGCACTGTACATCGTACCTCGACGTCCAGGAACACCTCCCAGCCACGATGAGGTGGTAAACTGTTGGAAGGTATATATATATATATATATATATATATATATGCATATCTATATATGGTGTTATATAGTGATTACCTCTGTCTCCATGACCACTTGTTTGTAAAGTGTTGGCCGATATTAGTGGTAAAGAAGCTATTGGAGTTGACCAATCGCTGAGGGATACGCCATTCGACTTCATTAAGCATCGTTTAGAGGTTGTTGAATGCATATCTGGCCTTTACAATGACTCTCGGTGGCCTAGCGATGTATCGAACCAGTGCTGCTATCCTCCTAGACATGTTAGGTACCAATCTGGCGACCCCGTAGGGATGGAAGGCTTGGTGAGTCATGGACGCGAGGATCAATTCCACGTGTGTGTTGCAGGGCGCCTCCGACCACTGCGCCACATGTGCCCTAAGCAAGTGTAATAAGAGCAGGAAATGTGTTCTTTTACGAAGGCTGTAGTTTGTCCACTGATAAAGACGCACTCTGAAGACACATAGGCTGTAGTGAAGGAAAAGAAAGCGGTTTCTGTGTAATGGCGAATTTCGTAGACTACCTATAAAATGTGCAAGTATTTGAGAAAGTTGCTGGAGGGCCCTGATGGCGCGTGTGGCGCAGTGGCCGGAGACGCCCTGCAACACACACATAGAATCGATCCCCACACCCATGATCCACCAAACCTCCTATGCCTCCGGGGTCTGCAAATTGTTATTACAATTGTCTGCGAGGATAGCAGCACTGGTTCGATACATCGGTAGGCCATCGTTAGTCATTGTAAAGGCCAGATATGCATATCACCTCCAAACAACAGTTAATGAAGTCGAACGCATAGCTCATCTCTCAGGGATTGATGGACGCCGAGAGCTTTATCCTTTATATTAGTAGTAAAGATACAAATTCAGCCTCATTCAAATAAACAAAACCGAGTATACCTACAACCTAAACAGAAGAGAATTTGGAAATCGTTTCAAACAACAATCAGCTTGGAAATTCGTTAAGACCACAACATTTTATTCTTATTCTCTCTATCCCTTGCAGTTTTAAATCCACTTCCGATTGCTTGAAGGAGAAATAAAAACGCACTTGATTTATTAATGTACCATTTTATAGTAACTCCCATGTCCGACTTTCTATTAACCTCGGCATTGATTGAATAATTCTTTCTACTCTTCTTCAGCAAACACGAGGTGTTACTTTATTTCTTTATTTACGTACAAAGTGACGTTTCGGCGGATTTCGCCTTCCTCAGAGCCTGGAAAGGTCAAGTTGACAGAAACCTATTCGGCCAAACACCTCCATAACCAAACAAAGAAACTCTAAACCAAAATTTCAATCACATTGAACACAGCTTTGCACACTCATCGCTTTCTATGAGTCTTCCACTGAGTATGTCGGGTGAAGACGAACCGCATAGAATTCACATGGAAGCGTAATGTGCCCTTACGGCAATAAAGAAATAAAATAACACATCATGTTTGCTGAATAGAAGTAGAAAGAATATATCGTTTTATTTCAAGAACCTCTGCGCTTAGTAGATCCTAGCTCAACTTTCTTAATTCTCAGATCACTTTTATTACAAATTAAACTCCGGATTGCAATATCTTCTACACACTTTCAAAACTGCACTTCACTAACGGCACCCACCGACTCTACTACAAGCAGCTAGGTGACTGTTCATTGCCTCCAGCATCCTGGACAGACCGACCTCCTCAGCGCATTGCATTAGACCGAGCACAAACAGATCGCACCACTTCGTTTTCATTACCGTTTCCAGCGTAAACGGTCTAGAAATAATAGCGAAAAATTTACATATAAAATATCTCAGCACATTTCTTTGTGACCATATATATATATACATGTATATATATATACATATATATATATATATAGCATTATAGAGAGTAAAACGTTTGGCGTTGATCAATCTCCAACCAAGGAACGCACCACACATTCGACTTGATGTAGGAACTTTAGGTGCTTGGATGCAAAACTAGTTTATCCAATAATTTACGCTGACCTACCGATGCATCAAGTCGATTTTTTTATCCTCGTAAACAAACCTGTTACTAATTCGTCGGATTGAACCGTTGAAGAGAGAGTATTGCAGAGCATCTCCAACTACTGTTCTATACGTGCTCACATAGCATTACACAACTACTAATGCCCTCGGTTCTTTATCCAAGCGAACTTCTAATAATGTGCTGATCGGCAACAGAGCGGCACAGCTTTGCGGTCAGAACTTCTTAGAGGAATCGATCACGCGATCTCGTGAGTCATATCGTCATGCCGCCAAAGCGCCTACACTCTGCGCCACCTACACCCGCATGGGGATGTGCGGGCAATTCACTAGTAATTTCGAACCGAGTGCGACAAACTAAATAAACGTTAGAGTTCTACCAAAAAAACCCCAGAGGGACACCTAATAGCTGTGCATGAGGTGAAGCAAATGTTATTGGTGTAGATTCAACCTTACGCTAAGAAGCAACGCTATTTTAAGATTACAGGCAATATGGCATTGCATGTCACCGAATTCAAGTTTGCAAGTGGCTTATTTTTACTGTTTATCTTTCAACGACTTGAATACCTTAACACGTGGAAAATCTCCTGTAACTTCATCGAACCCTAGATATTATTTACATAGTCTAAAAACTTTGTCACAATCTTACGTATACTACTTTCTTATTAGTACTATGCTACTACCATTACCTTCACCATCATTAGCACAAAAAGTCCGAAGATGGATTCTCAATATTTGCTGGTAACTTTTTGATAAGTAGAGTGCTTGAAGAGTTCAGAACTTAAGGACTTATGGAAGAGACAATGTCTTAGTTATTTAAGAGGAAACGTGACTCTTGAAATGCTACTTCATCTTTGAAGTCATTTACGTTTCATACTTCAAAACAACTGAAAATGAAATTTAGGCTCATTCCTAATGTAGGATGAAAGATACATTCAGAGACATTATCACTCCTTGAAATACAATAAGCCCCAACAGGAAATGACAAAAAAAAAGAACAACTTAAATGCAGCATTGTACATTCCCAAAGACCTATAGATCGTAAGGGTTTCCATCTCACTTAACATTTCTTAGAATGAGCAGAGAAAAGCCAGTTTGACGTTGAAAGCCGCCGTAGGCCTCGCCGAGCAGTAACTAATTCAAGTCGCACTATAAATGTTGATATTCCTCTAGAAACTGACTGTCGAAGAGTGTTGGTATTATTTAAAGGACGCCATTCCTGCCAAGAATGTGCAGGCGCGTAGCAGCGATGGCACGGCGCATCCCTAGGTGGATGAGAGCTAATCACGACCGTGCATTTGCTATACGTTAAAAAAACAGCTGAACCAGAATAACTTGTGGTTTCCGTGTAGGCGAGGTCATGCCCGTATATACACACATTGGAATGCCGTAAGCGAACTAACTGTACTCTGCACAACTTACTTGATACTCGATAGGTGAATGGCTCGTTCCCACTGGTTGTGCGGGCCTCAGCATAATCTCTATTTTTCAAGATTTACTGGTTAAGCCACTGTGGTATTCTGGAATCCCGAGATTACCTTGGCCAAAGTCTGCTCCAGGTCTTCACCACCAAAAGCAGTCACAGCTGTTGTGGATCACAGAGAGATTTGCCACCATGCAATTAATTTGATACCAGGACGGTGGTAGATCATAGTATTGGCTTACTCCTAGTTAGGCTACCTGATGGAGAATCCGGACTGCTTCTCAGCATGGGAGACCCTGTTAAGTGAATGAATCTCCCGCTGTACATCGTAGTTCAATACCCAGAAACACCTCGCAGCCACGATGAGGCGGTAAACCGCTTGGAGGTTCTACACAACTATTTAGGCAAAATGTGGATTCGAGTGATTACACACAGGAAGTGGTTTGGCTTACATGTGATTGAGCAAATGGATTCCACAAATGTCCGTTGCTACTCTCAAGTAATTTCGACGACCTATTCATGAGTTCTAGCTATTACGGCAGAGGCAGTTTTGCTATATTAGGGGTAGCTCTTTAGGGAAGTTATTAAAAAACACAGATTTCTATGAGGAAACTTAAGCGAGAGAAGCTTAGTGTAAAGTTTCAATGCGATACAAACGAAATCAGACTTCTAGTGGTTTTCGCTCAAGTCATTCGGTGATTGACAGAACTACAGGTGAGTTAATAGGTGAGGAATCTTGACATAACGCTAAATAAATACAGCTCATTTTTTACCATCTTATAATTTTGTTGGAGCAATTTCGACGAGGGACAAGGGCATTCAACTAGGTCTTCATTTTCTTGGTACGGGTTTTATAATATTTCTGAGGATATGTATTGCACCTCCCAACGGTTTACTGCCTCATCGTAGCTGGGAGGTGTTCCTGGGTGTCGAACTGCGATGTACAGCTAGGGGATTCGTCCCCCCGGCAGAGTGTTATTCCAATTGAGTCCGACGTTTCCATCAGGAAGCCTAGTTAAGAGTGAACCAATCCACCACCGTCTTGGTATCAAAGTTGCATGGTGGTAAATCTCCCTCTGATCTACAAGGGCTGCGACTGCCCGTAGTGGTGACGACCTGGGCCAGACTTTGGCCAGGCTGTCTTCGGGATTCCAGGGAACCACGATGGCTTAACCAGTAAATCTCCGAAAAATGGTGATTATGCTGGGGTCCGCACAACTAGTGATGACGGGCCGTTCAAGTACCAAATTCAGTACCAAGTATATGTGCTGCAAGGGATGTGTGTAATGCAATGGATTAGTACTAGACCTGTCCGAGAGAACAAAAAACAGAATAAACAGATCAGTAGGCCAACTGAATCAATCTGTAGATAAACCATGCATCCAATCATGGTTAAAGGTTAATGGAACCCAATGATGGGCATCCTAAGGGATATATCAAGAGCGAAGCTTTATCCTCCAGCTTTTTATCTGTTTCGAAGCACCTACTTGTGGCTGCTCCGTCTATTTCACATTTACGAGCAATAAATAAACATAAGAAAGAAATCAACAAACTTGAGGCCCATTCGAACGTCCTTCATCCAGTGTACCGATAGAAAAAGGAGACGACTTGCCGTCTCGCATATGAACTGGATGTTCAGTTCCGCCGGAGGTGGATGTGGTATCGGCAACTCAAATCTGCACCGCTGAAAATCCCAATCTAATGTTGACGATTCACGTTTCTTCTACCAAAGAAGACTACACGCTCTGGTCTGGATAATTCTCAGATAACACGCGAATTTAGTAGCCATTTGCAATGCAAATAGTCAATGTTTGTAACTTACTTTTCCCTTTAGCAGACTGTTTGATTCGTTCTCTTCTTTTTTTGAAATATTAATGTACTTTTGGTAGGAAGGTCTCAATCATTTTATGTAATTGAATTAGTTGATTCGAAGGATAACACTGGTCTATGGCGTTCCCCACCAGTACGTTCGTGAAGTTATCTCCTGCATTCTTTTCCAAAGCTGCTGACGCAAAAATGCAGGAATGACTTTTTTCATCTTCTTCCGTAGCCAGTACTAATAGAAATTTCCACTAAGAAATATGAGAACAACTTAATTTTAATCAATTTGCCCAACTAGATTCGTAGTTACACACTGAATTTCTATATTTCAGGAAAAATTCCGGAGAAATGGTAAAGTAGAAAACCTCTACGGAAGGCAGTCAGAAACTGATAGCTCAACCGTTTTTCCTACAAAAAGCAATTTCATGTAGATCACCTAAAAATTAGCATCACAGGGTGTCCACACGGATAGGTAGAAAAGTGATGAAGGATATTAATAAACTTTCACTAATGTCCTGGATCAACCTCAAACTTCTCGAACCTCAACGTTGAATATTGGACCTTCCTCGCTGATTGACGATGCGGTTCCTGAAGAGGACGGCGATTCAGGAGCCATGCCCATCGCTGTCATAACATCTATTCCGGACTCATCCTCTCCGATCGACTCCTGAGGAGAATTACAATAGAACTGGAAGGTTCTGATTCTCTATACTTCGAACCATAAACCTTGACAGAATTCAGAAATATCAACAACAATAGTGAAACAAAAACGCTTTATAAGAGTCACTTTTACCTAGTGTAGACGACTGTGCTGAAATATTGGCGCTGAAAATACCACAAACGCAAGTGCTTTCAGTAAAGAAAACTACTAATACATAGGATGAACCGCCTGCTCTCAAGTAAATGGTTTCTTCAAGAATCTAATGTAGTTTGCCATTCTCAGGGAGGAAAACAGCTTCTTGTGAGATAATCTGCTTTAAGCAGTTGAAAAAAACCATTATAAGAAACGGCCAAAGATCACGTTGCTTGTGCTTCAAAAATCTTATGTACGGTGCTTTAGCGCTCCACCCACCCTCTTAAAGCTGAAATCGTTGATGGGGCTGGTGCTGATCGGCCTGGTCAGGGCGCTCATTGGCGAACTTGCTCCTTCGTCCTTTTTAATGAGATTCTCCCTGTTCAGTAGTGGATCTTGCTCGTTCTTCACAATCGTCAGCAAGCCGTTCATCAGCTGATTCGAATCCAGTGCCTCAACAAATTGTACTTCAAAAACAAGTGTGCGAGAAATAGAACAGGAATTTTTGAATTTAGACACATCATTCATAGAACGACCAAAACAGAAGGTTCTGTAGGAATTCTAATAAGAAAAGGAAACTTTATATGAAAAACAATACGGCTAGGTTGCCATCGCTTAAAAAGACCGCAAGATAAATGAAGGGATAAAGCTCTTGGCGTTGATCAATCCCTGAGTTGTGCATTCGACTTCATCAATCATCGTTTTAAGGTAATTGAATGCACATTCGGTCCTTACATGGCTCGCGGTGGCCTATCAATGTATCGAGCTAGTGCTGCTATCCTACCAGACAAGTCTGGTATCAATTTGCCGACCGCGGATGCATGGAAGACGTAGTGAGCCGCTGGTGCGAGGATCGACTCCACGTGTGTGTTGCAGGGCGCCTCCGACCACTGCACCACACGCGCCCTTACCACTAGATAAAAAGCAATAAAAGATAACAACACAAATAACAACGAATAACAATCCAATCCTATAAAGCACCACAATTCAAGTTGTGTTCTTTTTTCCATTTTCTCGTTTGCAGTTTTCCAGATAAAAGATTCTTCCAGTGCTCTACACAACAAATACAGGTAGTAGTTAGTAGTAGATAGGCGAATACCTCCAATGTAAGCCGGTCTATTTGGTACTCAAGTCAATCTTCCGCTACTTTAAGAGTCATTTGGATTAAACTAGCCATACAGAGCCCATTACAAAAAAAAGCAGTGAATGATGAACGAATGTGGCAAATACTGAACTAACAGATATAGTTCATTTTCAACTACGATTTCCTTTCTGTCAAACAACTATCAAAGCCTTCTTGTATTCACTATATTGGATAAGCTTAAACGCATACATCGATTATCAACAGAGCATGGAGTTCCAGCAGGGCAGGGACTTGACAAAAGTTTCTAAAGACCAGGCTGTTCAAATCGCCTCGCTACTTGCTCGACCTCATCAATTGACAAGCTTTGCTGCTTCACGGGACCGCTATACATTGTTGCAGGTGAACAATTTGCATTCTAATCAGAATCTCTAGGATAATATTTGCATGGAAACTTCTAACTGATCTAAAAGTCACAGATATTACTAATATTCATAGACTGTTCGTCGTGAGATCAACCCAGCTTTTTAAAATTTTTTAAAAATGACCCGTCTTCATGTCTACCGTGCGGGTCCCAGCATTTCTCATATTCCATTTGTTTCCTCGCATCCATTTTCTACGAAGATCTTCCAACTTTTAAGTGTGGCTTCGACTGCTGTTTGAAGATTTTCGTTCTATCCTGGGTGTCGTAGAATGGTGGTCGAGTATTTCTTCCTGGAGTCATAAGATAGTCGGGTTAGAGCGTTCCCAATTGGATTTCAGAGGATGATTTTTTCCTGCAGATGTCCGGTACCAATTTCCCGTCCTTGGAGGGATCAGAGGCTCGGTCGTGATGACTGACATCACTACCACTATGCTATACGCCCCTAATCAACTCAATTGCTTAGATTAAATTTGTCTTAGTGATATAAAAAACGTGACTAAAATTTTGAACATTAGAAATGTATTAAGATGATGCAAAGAAATCCTCTTGCCAAACATTTAAATTGAGAAGAGCATTTCTGTTGTAGTGGTAAGAAAACAGCGTTTCGAAATCGACTACTCTCATTACGAACTTATTTTAAAAGCTCTGTAGCTGGAATTCACATCAAAGATGTCGGTTGAACTACATGAACAACAACTGAGCTCACACCAACAACGTCGGCTAAAACAGATTTCATCATGTGGATGCTCCAAATCTAGGATGTTTTTTGTCAGACATCTACAACCATTGACAAAAACTGTGCTCTCGAATATTAGTTATTTTACTACACTTTTACTTCTCGCTCCCAAAAACAATGCTCTGCTCGCTAACTTACCGTGACGTTACCGGCGGCGCCGTTGTGGTGTTGCACCATCGTGGGCGGACTGTCGGCGCAAACCTGATGCACTGGACGTCGTTCGGCTTGAACAGCTGAACAGAACAGTCACTCAAAAGCAGTACACACAGCAGGAAATTCGTATCACGCACGTGGACGACACTTGCGTGATGCGGGTTTTTTCTAATTGTCCATCAACGAAATTTTTCCTTTTTATCACGAAGGCAATCAGTATGGTTATCACCAAAGCAGCAACGTGGACTTCAACGAATAAATTAACCAGTGGGCGCGTGTGATTAGATATATGCCTCCATGCACGCAGCGACGTTGGTTCGATGGCGCGTCCCACCTAAACCAAGCTCCTCATGACTGAAGGATACCACACTAGCATCGGAGGATAAAAAACTGACTTGACACATAGGCGTACAACTGCAAGTCATTATATAAGCCAGATATGCATTCAATCACCTCTTACGAGGCTCGGTGCAGTTGAATGCATGACGCATCCTTAACGGAAAGAAAGACAGCCGAGAGCTTTACACTTCTATTAGTTAGCATGGAACAGTTCTTAGTCTTGATGATTAAACCAATCTATGAGTCGGTGCTTTAAACATGCTTAAATTGGTCGATTTGTGCAAGAACACGATCTTTACGACTAACTGCGAGTAATCGCAGTACTCGGCCGAACTCAACATCGCACGCCGTTGTCGAGCTGCTTTCCCAGATTATCTGCTCAGGGCAGACTGCTGCCCGACGTCTGTTCACTACGTGCCAGGGTAGGGCGATAATTGTTATTCGTGACATGCAGACTACTAATTAGAATGGCTAAAGATGGCCGTGCCGTGAGATCGATCTAACGGCCCGCTGCTTTGCTTCATCGGGACACAGCCATCCAAGGTTGCCATAGCCACAACTCGATATTCTAGTAAGCAAAGCAGAATCAACAGCATACAGTAAACAGAAAGTTGTCACCGTTTCCTTCCGGGACATTGGCAAATTCAGAGTGATTTTCCAGTGCACGGCGCCGTACCGTGCTACCTAGACGGGATGAAAGGAAATTTCCTCTTGAACAATGAAGAACCATACGCTCATCCACTTTCGCTTAAATTCCGGTGCTCGAAATAGGAAAGTTCGCAGATCTTATTTTTAGAAGGATTGGCACGGTTCAGCTGATCACGTCTGTCAGTGTTTTTTCTCACAAGACCAAGACCGTTACCAATACACTAGTTGAGTGTAATCATCGACCACGAACAAAGTCGTTCTTTTAAATCCACGAATTACGAGTAAAAGAATTGCTCTGAAAATTTGGGACCATGTGAATTCTGAACCCGGAGTGGAAAACTGTGGACAAAGAAGTTTCCTCGTGTATTTTTAAAAATAAAAAAAAGTGATAAAAATAAAAGATAAAAACGGTATCAAAAAACTCTGTGTGTGTAGAATGACTTTGTCTATTGGAATCAAACAAGACTATTCCACCCACTTATACAGTGAACGATGGATATCCCAAGCCTAAGGACATATAATTCTTCTCAAAATGCATTTTCGTTCGAAAATCGTTTAAAATTTGTTTCGAATAGCTTAAAATATCAGCGACAGCTGCAAGGATCATTGGTGCGTTAAGCGGACAATATTGCATTCCACGGAATCCCATCTGTTCAATTCCTTTAGTGCTCACAATAGAAATCTTAGAGAGAAAAAGAAGACAAGAAAATTTTGGTGCACCAGAAAATCAGAATTCTTTCTTGGGTTTGAAGAAGGAAACTTGTGTCTTGATGGCAAAGAGCTATACAATTCGACTTTTTTTCCAACCAATGAACTTATTTATGAAAAAAGATTTGCTCATCTAAAGTTGAAATGTAAACAAATTCTCGTCACGTATGAGTCGTCGTTGACTCACATTCGCCATTATGTATCAAACTACCTGTACTGAAGCATAGACTGATTCTACTCACACTCACTGCGCATTCCCATCGATAAGCACTTCTTCAAACGACAGTATTGACATCTATTGCGATGAAACTTCGTAACGGGACAGTCTTTCGATCCGCGGCACATGTAGCCAATCTGAAACCAGCATGTTAGACCCCTTGGCCTCTTCATTTACAAACACTCTCCACTAATCAGAACGGGCAATTCACTAAGGATCTTCGATGTAAAAAGGAAAACCTCTCATTATATTTTAATTCTTCGAAGGTTTCACATACTTCTTGTAAAAATTTCGAAATATCTGAAGTCTTTCAGTGTCATTGTCCAAGTTTTGCTAAAATTAAAATTCAAAGACTATCACATTTGACAATTATTTAACGATGTTGGAAACTATATAGTAACAAAATATTAGCAACCAATGCTTCTCAGACTAGAAGCCTAGCTATCGTTGATGCTTCGTTCGTCATTAGTGCTGCCACGAGCAGCACTAACTTGGGAACGTTGCGTTCCTGGCCACCCAGTTTTCAGGGTAGGAATGGCAAAAAGATTGAACGTGACACGATGGAAAAGCTTAGAGGCGCTTTAACATGCATCAGAAACACCTCGCCTTCCATTTTTGGATCTTCCTAACATTTACTCCATTGTGACCATAAACGAATTATAATGTTTATGATGTGAAAAATACATGGAAACCCAGAAAAATCCCGAAAAAAGACATTTTCCGAGCTATATATTGTGCCCAAATTTTCAATGTTTAGGAAATAGAGAGACTCCATTTCACTGATTTCGTTCACAGAAATGAATAGCTGAACCTGATTACCAAACTATCTTTGGGAGCTGTAGAAAAATTAAATACTGATCAGGAACTACACATGTGCAAATAAAAAAAAAAGAACCTGTTTTCTAATAGAGCGTTTGAAGAAGCCCTTACAACCCTCACAGGATACCGCGCCGTAGTGCCGCCCACTGGCTTTATCACCACAGACGACGCACAGCTCAGCGCCTGCGCTGGCCGTTTCGGCGCCGCGGGAGACGGGGATCGAGTCCGTCCGCTGCGGGCTCGTCACTCGCACACGTGACATCACGCCCGCATTCGTCAGCTGAAATCAACCAACAGCTTGGTCGATGCTCACACCTGATAGTAAGAATTATAGCAAAAAAAAGAAAAATAATACATAAGAGTAATAAGGATGCTTTATTAAGAAGAAACAAACAACTGCACGTCATTCATAACAACACGGGCACATCCGAGAGGCCGAGCAGGTGCTAAGTGAAGGTATGGGAACTATTTGAGTATTTTGAACGAGAAGAAAAAGATGTGGTTATTGATCGAATAGGAAATTGAGCTTCAGATGTGTGAATTGGATTTAGCACTCGACAAATATCAATAGGTGGGAAAGGCCTAACGACTAGATCAAAAGCGGCAAATCTGCCAACTGAACGATACTTCTCTATCTTTAGCTCTCAGAAATCAACACCATCTCAACTGAACTCCTTTATTTTTCTATAAGTAGAAAAAAAGCTGAAAACTGTAAAAAGCATTGACCAACTAGGAAATATGGACTGAAGGCAGTGGATTTATAGCGAAACGATGGATTTGCAACTGCATGAGGCTGGGGTCGGCATGTGAAATTGAGGGCGGATGTCCAGGCAAGACCAGATGACGTCATGGGAGCGCACTGAACGACGTGCTGCCCATCGATTTAGCGCCCAGGGACTGCCCGATTATGGCTGCTCGCAGGTCGACCCCGGCAAAGCCTCGTCGCCGTTGGGAATCCGGTGGACGACCGAACGCATCGACTACTTTGCCTGATGAACTGGAAGGAAGGTTGGCCCACTGAACAGTGCGGTCTTTCATTTAGGACACAACTAAGAGCGACTCTCATGAAGCCCACGCCATGCGCAGCCGCTTTTTAAATTCAGCGGTTCGCAACTACTACATGTAATTATTTCCGCCGAGAATTAAAGTCATTGAAAACTAATAATACACGGTTTAGTTTGATTTTTAAATCATTTAGAGCGCGTGTAGCGCTTAGAGATGCCTTGCAATACACACGGTGTCGTTGATTCGATCCTGTGCTTTAGGATCAACATGGCTTCCTAGCTCGGGGCCGGCAAATTCCTATTAGACTTGCCTGGAAGGATAGCAGCAGTAACTGGATAGATCGGTAGGCCACCGTAACTCATTGTAAAGGCCTGATATGCATTCAGTCTCCTCTAATGATCCTTAATGAAGTCGAATGCTTGGCGCATTCGTCAAGGATTGACCAACACCGAAAACTTCATCCATTTTTTAGATTTTTAAATTATTTCACTTAAACAGATATGGTCAGCGCTTACGTTTGGCCAACAGTGTATGCAGAGGCGGATAGTATGATGCTGCAGTGTGGCTTAGGTTTCGGCTTTCTAGCTTTCTCAAAACATCCTACTCTTCATAGAAATCAGTAAGACAACGCTGGATGCCGTTTAGTGGTAACTACTAATACTTCTTCGACAACCAGATTAGTTAGAAAGTTGAGACCTCGAGAGGATTGTAAAAGAGGCTTTTGCTCTACTGCTGCATGGTTATGAATTTAGAGAAATATCTCTTGATTCTAAGGATATTTAAAACTATAATTCACAAAATTTTGAAAAAGAAGTTTGTAATCGTAGAAATTTCGGGGCGAGTCTGGAAGCACCAAGCATCAGCGAGGCATTAGAGGACATCAACGTGTCCTGTTCTATGACATTCTGACTCGCTAGCAAAAATTCTACCTGATGAGCAGAATTCGTCCCCCTTACACCAACATGGCGTAGACTTTGTGGTGCAATAATGAAAAACGATTCTCTAGAACATGTATATAGAACATTTCTATGTTTCCTTGTATATTTTTTTACTGCATGACAAACATCCTCTCACAACAAAACTATTGCATTGGTAAACTTAATAGAATACGCTGGTTCCCTGAAGCTCTTTCAAATTTCGAAATAGCTGGACATTTGGAGCTCAAAACTCAAAAACTATACCGTTTGTACAGAAGGTTTCCTTAAAAGACTTTCCATTTTAGTCACAATGAAAATGCATCACATATCTATTCTCTGTCCTTTAGGAGAAAGGGTCAACTCAACTCAGCGATCGGATTGCACACACATGTTATTCTTAACGGAGACAGTTAGATTCTAGGTAATAAAGTGACGCACGATGTTTTACGTGACTGAGTAGAAGCTCACATCGGACCCTATGAACTGAACTAATTAGAACAACTGCCGAAGCAAGTCTGCCAAGTCACAACCAGTGCAAAACCTTCACAGTCGACGTCCAAGACCAATTTCCTGATGAACTGTTTTCGTGTAAAAGGATGACTTTAACACTTTCTTGCATACAAAATGAAATAGAATTCATCTGTAGGCAGAATCTGAAAACAGAAATGATCTTTGGTAAGGCAACCTTTCTTACCGAATCTATTCAAAATGAAACTGTTAGTGTTAATAATGCATTTTTCGTTAGAAAATTCTCTTGTTAGGAAAGGAAAGGAAACCTTGAGAAGTTTCAAGTAAGTCAAGTGTTCAAACCACTGTGCCTACGAAAGGTGTTCTAATCCAATACGGTGTGAACAAGGTACGATTGCCGAGAGTTGAAAGTCTCCTTTATAGAACATATTTATTACTTTAAGTTAAGGTTTTCTTGTTCAATTTAAAGTTCACTGTTTAATCGTACGAATCGTTGCCATCCTCGAAGTACCCTGGACGCAAGGATATCGAAGCTGAAGAATCTCGCACCAATAAATTAAGACCGGAAAAGCGTTAATGGTGAAGAGCCACAAATCCTCGAGCACGGTCTTCTCAGAATTTCAGGGAACACCACACGCAACCAGCACAAAATGCCGATGAAGAAGAAGACAAATCGTTTAGCTGCCTCCGAACCGGCACACGACCACGACCACCTCTGTGAATGACTGATGTATGGATCCACCGGAAGAAGTCGGGAAGCTCTAATGTGCGGACGATGCTCGAAGAAAGGCCGTCCAAGCATTTCGTTATTTATTTATGTGATCTTATAAACTAATCTTCTTAAGCTGACGCGAGGTTGGTACAGATCGCGTCAGCTTAAGAAGATCAGTTTATAAGATCACATAAATAAATATATCAACTATCTATGCCGAGGTTTATAGAAGGTCAGTCTTTCGAGTCATTCCGTTATGCCTCATATTTCTCAGTAGTACATAACAAACTTTTGGGCCAAATACACGTAGCAATGTGATTGTATGTGTCTCTTTAATTGATTTTTCGACAAACAGACAACTATTTAAACAATTGGCACCTGCGGGTTCACCTCGTTTTTTTTCAAAACATTCTAGTTTGACCTTTGAGATGTTTCTCAAAATCGAAAGAAGATAGATAAGTGTATTTCTTCTCCTCTAAACCTATTCATTTCATCAGAATCGATTTGAGAGAGCAGAAATGCTTCAAGAAGAAAACATCTAAAAAAATGGTCCCACTGAATCTGAGAAAAACAATCAACTAACATTTTCAAAGCACATCGACGTATGCGAAATAGTGTCAACTATAGAATGACGGCACTGAGCACTGGCGACCGTCGAGAAGTGTGGGAGAGCAGCCGGAGAAGCTCAAGGGTTAGACAACCTATGTGTGGTACGGACGGCCGTGAAGGGTCAGAGTGTCTATTAATATACTCGAAAAGATGGTTCATTTACTACACTCCCAAGGCTTTGCAAACAGACGGCAGTGAACATCAGTTAAAATTTAGAAAAATTAAATTAGTTCGAAACACAAACAAAAACTCATTGAATGACATTTGCGAACAAAGATCACAATCTGGAATGTCAAGCCAAGAAATCACCCCTAAAGTACACTAGTTACAATGCTGACTGGGACGGAAATTTGCCGTCACTTGGAATTGACAATCGAATCAAGAATATTTGGAACTTTGAAGAGAGTAAGATCGTTAACCCTAATCAAAAGCGCGAGTTTAGCTGTTGGGATAAAGAAATTCCATAAGCGAAAGCTGTAAGAGAACTAGTCATCCCAAAAAAGAGATGGTACCACAGTCTTATCACAAAAGTTCGTTTGAAAACGTGAAAAATTGGAGGAAAAACTGCAAAGGAGCAGCAGAGAATGAGGGGATGACGGATATGTACGACGGCTTGGACAAGGTCTCTCCAATACACACTGGAGAGAGCAGCATGAAAGCGGTGGAAATTTCCAGACGAACGAATGCGATCACAACTGCATTGCCATTAAAACACACCAAACACTACGCACGCTCTTATACAGGCAGCAAATAAGGCCAAATAAGATAAGCAAATTAATTCAGCTGATCGCGGTTGAAAGGCTTTAGATGAAAAGAGGCAGATGATGAGAACAGTCGGGACAAACGTGATGAAATCCACGGCCAGCACGCAGCAGTTATTGTTACCGTGGCGTTCGAATCATTAATGGGCGGGGTGCGGCGCGACTGCAGCCACTCAGTCGCCCGTGCGCGCTCCCCACAACAACCCGCATGACCTCACCCGAGCGGGTCGTTTCGGCACACACGGCTACCCGGGCGCTGCCCTGTTCGCGCATTGGGCGTCCCAGCTGACCAACGGCTCCACTGTGCGCTCGGAAGAACGCGGTTGGCTGAAAGCGGCTGACTCGTCCATGATGAGTTCGGCTAGTGTTGAAATCACTTCCAGTAAAATCCTTTATGAATAGAATCACGAGGAAGAGGAACGCCTTAATGAGGAACAATGAAGGATATTCGTCTTTCAACTCCGAGAATCAAAGTGGAGCTCCATAACATCTTTACTTAGATAGGTTAAGCAGGAAGAATTCCGTTAAAGGGTATTGTGATAACCAAGGAGTCCTTGCATCATCGGCCCCATATCATTGACTGCGAATGGTCGACGAACTCAGTTGGAGGCAGGCGCCTGGCTACAGCTGTGTGACAAACGAAGGCCACTCCAAGGTTGCTGCAAAGGTCAAGTTACGGCGATAAAACTACCATCTATTAATTGCCTCTATTGCTGTATGCACTCACAAACGATCCTTGGATCCGTAATAAATGTCCACTGTCAAGTCATTTCTTTATTCATTGTCCATT